GGGTGAGAGAGATCTGGACGTGTAATGTAAATTTTACCTGTGATCCTCTGAATAAACCAGCACGGTTATTTTTTATAAAATCTAAAGCTGTCTATCTCGTCTTATTGTGAGTTCCTGGTTCAAAAGAGCCGGAAGAGGCTTCATAGAGAAAGATAGGCTTATAGGACATACTCCAAAAAAGTCATCATGTTTCCAGATTCCAGCCATAAAAATGACCCAAATGTTCCACACGCTACTGTGTTTTTGGGCCCATTTTCCCTATTCCAATATCCCATAATACTCTGCGCCCAGACAGGTTCCGGTGTAGAGAGTATAGCGGACATCTGTGAGAAAATAGCAACACCACGTGTTGTCGAGTGTAAAATTAAATATAAGAGAATTATCTGTACTGCTCCGGGCTGTACAAATGAATCTGGGAAAGGTAAGGCTCAGAATATTAAAAGGTCGTATTACATTTTCCCATAAAATTACACAAAATGCCTCAAACTTTGGAAGAAGCCAATCCCCCGAGCCACCTGACATCTACAAAACAATCAACCAGAATTTGCTCAAAATATAGTATGTTTCTAATAAAAATGCATATGTAGAGAAATAATGGATAATAATATATTCACTGTTTTACAGCCACTCATTTTCCAGTGATTCTCTAGGGGAAAAATGCTTTTTATGCCAGTGTGTGTTATGAGGTGATTGCGGAAGTTGTAGTCACTGTTGTAGTCAGAGTGTAGAGTTTGGCCACTATTCTTCACAGCCAAGCACTGTTGCTGGGTGCTCGTGTTTACCATGTTACCACAGTTAGGAAAAAAAATAAAAATAAAAAGGTTATCAAGAGCATTCACTAATATTCAGATTCAAATCTGAGCTACAATTAACAATGCATCATAACAACATGCCATGCATTTTTGCTTTGTTATTAAATGTTAAACAGTGTTTTTATCTATACACGCTGACACACTGGTGGAAAAAACAGATGCTAACGTAGAGTATGTTAGCAACATGGCTAACCAAAACAGAAAGGAAACACTGCAGGCTGGAAATGTGACTAAGCCCACTCACGTCGTATTGTACATGCCTAAATGACACTCCGCATGCAACCCCTCGCCCAACCGCTTGCTTTGGGGTTGTATTTCAACACACTCAATGTAAATGCTCGCTTAGGGGTAGTGTAACAAGCCTCCCCTCTGCGGGTTGAGACAGGTTAACTGACATTCCAATCTCTCCCTTCTCTCTTTCTCTTTCATTCAGGCAAATGTAGGGGGTTGAGGTATGTGTGGAGGGCTCTCAAACACTCTTGAGCCCTGTCATTGGCACACATGCATACGCACACGCACGCACGCACACACACACACACACACACACACACACACTTTCAGTCTAATGTAGATAGTAAATATTTTGGTCAGATGCAACACTGGAAATGGAGCGCCAAAATAAAACTGAAAACAAAGTTCATGGCTATTTCCTGTTCTGTATTATATATAACTGCACTATGATGTGATACAGTGAAAGCTTTGCATTACATCCACATGCTGTTGAAAAGAAAAAGGACCCAAGGACAAAAAAAGGGGCTACAACTTACATTTTACATTTGTGAAGACTGTCTTTTTTTAAAAACTGATTTATTGTTTAGTCTATAAAAACAAGTGTTCAAAAAATGTGAATTGAGATATTTTGTCTGACCAGCAGTTAGAAACCCAAAGACATAGGCTACTAAGGTTTAAAAATAAAGGATATGCGGTGTGAAAAGAGGAACCTCAACAATTTAACAATGCATTTCTACATGGAATTGTTGTGGTAGGTATAAAAACAAAAAAAAAAAAAAAAAAAAATGCATATAAAAGTTAAACTGCTGTTTATATAAACCTGACATTAGAAACGACTGTCCGTCTAAATTTTCACCAGAACTGAGACACTTGACTACAACTGAAACACTTAATTTTTCCAAAAGTAACTGGTAACTATAATCATTACAATCATTTCAGTGATTGTTCACACAATGAAACAATGCCAAACATTCTCTTATTCCAGCCTCTGGAATAAGATGTTTTCTGTCCTTCGTTGTCAAATATTACTGTAAACTAAATATTTGGGTATTTGGATGTTTGGTTTTGAACAAAACAAGACATTAAAAGATACCCAGAAGTCAGATGTTTGTGAAATAAATGATAGCCAAAACAGACTTAGTTAACCTTAAAACAACTGTAGATCATAACCATTTTCCTAAATTTTGCCACTGATAAAGTGCGTGCTTGAAGACAGTGTATTATAACGGCACTGTGGGGGAAAAGCATCATCATCCTGTCAACATCTGTTCGTTGCCAATGTGGTTATGAGAACAAACTGTGCTGGGCTCTGATTGCATTCATTTTGTTCTTTAAAAGGACTTTGTATTCATTCTTTTACAACTTCCACAAGGTAAACAGGCTTATAAAAGCTTTTACAAACTACACAGGAAGTGACAGGCACAGCTCTCTGCTTCTCTATTGAGACCCTCACACTCAGAGAGAGAGAAAAAGAGGAAAGGAAGAAAGCAAGGAGAAGAGGGATGGATGAGAGAAGGGGAAACTGAATACCACGACAGAAAACACACTTGTCAAGGACACGAGTGCACACACACAGTGAATATCTCTCCACTGATGAATGAGGAAACCACTCGAGCATGAGAGCCTGGCACAAAAGACTAGCATTCTGAAGCATAAAAAGGTTGTTCAAGAGCGATGTTCAAAAAGAACACTAAAAGGTTAACTCAGAGTACTGGGAGACAAAGCATGAAACTTTTCTCTACTGTGTATGTGTCAGAATGTTTCCTTGTGCATGTGAAAGTGTGTGCAGTATGTGTAGTTGTAAATGTGTGTTGTTCTGATAAAATCTTTACAACAAGCAGCTAGAACAAACAAGGCCTCCTGCCAAGAACAACAGCTCAGACTGAAGGATTTGTTGATTTTTCATTTGGATCACTGAGCTTTAGGAGGCCAATTTACCACTGGGGTTATTTTACATTCACTGTCAGAATGAGAAAACTTCATCACAGTGAGGTTGCAATCATCACATTTTGTTTTTATTAATACACCAACGGTTCCAACTCTACCAAGAGTAAAAACATTTTTGTGATGTTGCAGGAATTTTTCTAATTCCCAGTGTTTCTGCTCAGGTGTTCTTTTTATGTTTAAATTTAGTTTTTTTTGTAAATTGTCAAAAAGCCAAAATATATTGCTCATGATTGATTTATAAAATCAATAAAAGGGTAAAACATCCAAGGGGGTGAATACTTTTTATATGCGCACTGCACCTTAAAGTATTTATAATCTTTCACATCTTACAAAGGGGGCAACTTTGTGGTTCAGTGGGTAGAGCAGTCATCTCCCAACCAGAGGGTCGGAGGTTTGAATCACGGTGCCTACAGTCCACATGTCGAAGTGTCCTTGGGCAAGACACTGAACCCCCAAGTTGCCCCCGATGGTTAGAGCCATCGGGGTGACTTGGCACCACAGATGGCTGCCTCGGTTCTGTACCGGATACAAATTCCTTGTGTGTAACATACTTGGCCAAATAAAGGTGATTATTATTATCCAAATAAAAGCTGAATTAAAATTGAATAGCTGCTGAATCGAAATCACTCTGGACTGCAGGCACCGAGATTTGAACCTCCGACCGGGAGATGACTGCTCTACCCACTGAACCACAGTCGCCCCAACCTCGCCCCCTAACCTGGCTCAAACTGGCATCACAGTTAAATGAAACTGGAACATGGTTAACTCGGGTGTGACTTCATTGCCTGCTCCAGCCTCGGGGTTCCATGGTAAATAGAATGTGCCATAAAATCTCAGGAAAAATTCTGTCACTCCAGAACTCAGAGGAAGAGTAAAAGCAGAGAGCACATCAGAATGGAGCAGCACACTTTTCTCTTTCAAATGAAAACTGTAACCACCCATAACCCATGTGCATGTTTCAGTAGGAGTCCTACCTGTCCAAGGTCCAGGGTGACATTGACCTCATTGTACTCTGTGCTGCGAGACAGAGGTGGGCTCTGCCACCATCGCTCTGTCCCATCGATGGCATTGGTGATGGGGTGGGCACGGTCACTGTCGCCCTGGCTGCAAATGTCACAGTACTGGCCCTGAAAATACAGAGGCAGACATGCATCCAAGCTTGAATCTTTAGTTGAGTATATGAGGTTTGAAAGGCTGAAACTTTACCATACACATTATCAAAGTGAAATTCCATACATGAGACCTTGAGAAAACAGCTTTTCTGAGGTTCTCTCAGAGAGAACAGTCTTCTTGCAAACCTGACATCAAAAAGGCTTCCTGGGAGTTCACTTTCCAGCTGTTTCAACCAGATTTAATCAACCGCTGCTGTATGACGCAGCATCCTAGGGATTATGTGCTTTTAGCAGTGAATCCATGTGTCCTCTTGACTGGCTAATATATGCCTAAGGTATCTACCAGTCCTATGACCATGCATGTTTTGGTGGTTGAATTATTGTTTGATGATGAGATATTTCATCAAATCTCAGACAATGACATTGGTGCTTCCATGGGAGTCTGCAGGGTTTGACTCCAGGAAGCCAATACCATCAAGGGATTCACCAGATTCACCAGCTTCAACAGAGATGGAGGAACTAATCAGTGGAACATCTGCTGTAGTCTTTGTTAATATATCTAAATTTATTTGAGGGAAAAGGCACATAATCATATTTTATAGTTTATTTAAGCTCTTATTTGCAGATCTACTGTAGAGAATGAATTTCAGGGTTTTGCTCAAAGATACTTAAACAGGGTTTTAGTGATCAACATAAGTTACTGTGGGATTTGACCCTTCAGCATTTTAGTAACAGCCCAGATTGTCTAACCAGTCACATCTGCAGCACAGTGTTTCAAAGTCACATCTATGAAAAGAGGAGTTTCCTTTCACAACAATGTCCCTGAAGCTACTGTCTTGTATTTCAACAAAAAAGTGACTCCTCTCGGGTTACTGTAACAGTAAGGCCCTAGCCTGTATTGTCTATGTGCTAGTAGGCTTTATTTGTTTCATAAATTCAGTCTGTGCCTTAGTCTGCCTGCTTTATGTTAAATCTCACAGTTTACAGGTTGATATGACAGATACTGTACTATCATATATGAAAAAAGGAACAAAGATAGAAATTCAGCATTTACGCTGTTACTCCAGCTGACACTACCACAGCCCTCTGGGGCTAGAAGTAATGAACAATAATGTACTTTTGTCAAAGTTTTAAAGTAACAATTTGCTCAAACATTTTAATAGGTCATTTCTTCATTATCATTATATCCAAATGTCAGGAAGTTTGAATGCCAATATACTCTCAAACCAAACAAGGTTTAAAGCTAGCTTTATACATCAGGCTATACCCTCAGCAACGGCCAGTCGCTACATGTAACACCCTGTTTCCATTTCAACTGTCTGAACAGCAGATGTGACATTAGATATTCTAGCTGCATTGTAAGTATTTAAAGGAACATATAAGTGTTTTCTTCCCTGCTTAACATAAACCATGTGTACTTCATATTTTTGCTGACATTTCCCAATTCATACCAACAACAATATAACTTCAACAACACTAATAATGTTTACTTGGATTGATAGCATGACATGCAGTCTCTGCCTGGTGATTTTCACTATGTAGTAAAAGGAATGAAAACAAGTGTTGCCTGGAGGGTATAAAGGTCAGTTAACATGTTCAAAAATCATAAAACACAATAGAGTGCCTTAAACATTTGACCTCAAGCAGAGGTGGGCAGGTCCAGCTCACTTCTAAGTTGCCTCTTCACTTTAAGCTAAATCAGTTTAGCTGTTTAAGCATTTAATTAGTGCTGGCTATGTAAGCATTAACAAGCAAGGACCTGAACAAGAGCCCAGGTAAGGAGATGTTATCGCTGCAGGTCACTGAGGTCAGAGGTCACTTCTCACTATCTAACTCCACCTCCCCCCACCCCCATGCCTCTACACACATCCCAGAAATCAAATTACTCCCTCATATTTGTACCAATTCCTCAGATTAATACATCATCACTTTCACCACCCTTGCTGCTAACCACATGGACAGAATTCAGTCCAATTTTGATGTGTGGTTACACTCTAGGTTACGGCTGTTACACAACATTATGTTAGCTTTGCTGCCCCCATTAAGGGATTACCAAAGTGCAACAACTAATTTCTCAGCTTTCTTTCTCTTGTCGCTTCTTATGAAAAGCATGTTAACAAAACTCCCACCTGAAAATGAGTGCATTCTCCCCTCTCACTGTGGTACCTACTTTTATTCAATCACTTCTCATCCCCCTTCCCAGTTCTTTCATTACTCCCACCTTGAGGTGAACAAGCAAAACTTTGTCTCTACCTGAGTGAGGAATCCATGTCCCAAGGATAGAGCCAACGTGTTACTCGGTCAGCATCAGCCACTTTATGTAATCTCTTTTTTCTATACCATAATGCATAGCCGTTCTTATACTAACACTACTCTTGTTTCTCTCTTTCTACTTGACATCTGTTTGTCTTTGACCTTCTCCTTGTACCTCTCCTGGTCTTTCTTCCTGTCTGTCTCACCCTCTCCTGCTTCCATATTACATTACATGAGAATTTTATGAAATTAAAGCTGCGTGCACTGGGTCAGATTTTCAGGTGGCAATGCAGTTGTCTTTATTGATCATTAGCAATAACTGAGCTCCACAGATTATTGTTAACAGGTGCAACCACCAGTCACAGCTCAGTATCTGGTGGCAAGCACCGGTCCCAGGTTAGTGTAGTTTACCCGTGTAAGGTTACAAAGCTTCTGGGTAATAAACTCCTTAATATTCAAAAATGTACAAACATCTTGCTGCTATCTGGGTCCAATGATGTGCAATATATCTCAGTGTAGATGAAAACAACAACAATACTAGTTGTCTACAAACATGCTAGTGTCTCTACGAGGCTGTATTTAGACAGCTGTGCCTTCGGCTAAATGCTAATGGCACCATGCTGACATACAATGAAAATGTTAACGTACTGATGTTTAACAGGTATATTATTTACCATCGTCACTATCTTAGTTTAGTTTTAGCATCGTTTGCCAAACCTATGTTTATTTCTAAGGAAATGACTGTACACAAAAGTACAAATTAATAATGATGTTCACTGTGGTTTAGTTAGGAACAGAAATCTTTGATTTGGCTTTAAGAAAACAAGCAAAGCAGGTCTTAACCCACAAACAGCCCACTGAAGATGTGACCAAAATGTCCTCACTATGTCCAGTATCAATCTAAAATGTGTCCACACAGCCATTGAAAAATGTGTATACAGGCACACACACACAAACACACAATCTCGAGTTGTCCTCCTGCTTTTAACTAATCAATTTCGAGTTGTCCTCCTGCTTTTAACTAATAAAACCACTTTCATACCTTGCTGACAAATCAAAGCAGGATTAACCTCAACACAGAAATGTATGTGTTTTGTGTGTGCGTGCATGCTGTTCATGGGGTGCGGTAATCCAGTGAGTGGGCAGAGCCACAATAGCTCAGCAAACTGGGCCCTCTAAGCCCAAACACATAATGTTCTATTCCTTAAGCTAATGACTAGAATTCTCAGCTTATTTTGGAGATTTCCTGAGCTAATTAAGCATCAACATAGCTGGTTCAACCAAACATCTGTCAGGAGGCAGCTTCAAAAGGACGGACAGATCTGACCGGACAAATGCTGCAGAGGGGCAATTTTGCCAGCTGAACTTAAGTCAGTCAAAAAGACACCTCCTATTCATACCTCTAGTGATCTATCCATCTCTGACTCACCAACTTTACATCAGCATCTTTTTGTCTGATTGCTTTCAGTTAGGGTGTACAAAGGTACAGTGCTTATTAGCATGCATGTCAATTGTTTGTAAGCACTATAGATGAGCTAAAACAGAAGAAGCACTGGGGTTTAGACAACAGATTTAGTAGGAACCTCCACAGGAAGCATCGCTCAGGTCTTGATAACCTCACAGTATGAGAGCAAAAAAACTCAGTCTGATTGGAGGACACAGGTCAGTCACTGCAGGAATGTGGGGAACCAGTGGGAAAGACAGAGAGACAGAAGACAATATACCTGCATATGAAATCCCAGAGGGTTGTCTTAATGGTTAACACATGAAACTGTGTGTTAACTATTAATACCTGGAGGCTTAATGGTCAAACACATAGTGGGTCTGCTCTTGGTTCATCGGAAGGCTCATAAACTCATCATCACATTAAATGCTCATTTATAAAACACATACAATGTGTGATGTGAAAACCTAACCAGCAGTGAACCTGTCCATTCTAAGTGAAGCGTAGCCTCACCTGTTGAAAGTGGCCTATGCGGAGCCTTGCCAAGGAGCAGTGCATGAAAAAATGACTTGGCAGACCAGTTTGATATTCATGCACACTGCTGACCCCCTCTGTTCAACTCTCTACTCTGAATGCAATCACCTGTGCAGGCTGGCCTAAGGTTTGATGTAAGCGTGTTAAAGCCCTTACCAAACTACAGTCAAACCCCCTTAAACATGATAAGATCACTCTCAGCTCATGTATGCTACCACACAGAAACACTCCAGGAACAGTAGTTACTGTAACCCCTTTACAGAACACCACAGGCTCACCTAGGAATACCACAAGAATACTATAACAACACAGTACCATATAAAAATTCAGCTGACACGAAAATGTCATTATACACTCACAACTGGAATACTATAGAAGTACTACTGCCATTAAGCAAACTCTATTACGTGCACCACAGATGTGCACGTCCCCAGTGCAGCCTACTACTGTGGGTTACAAGCACTAGGCGTCATGACAATATTAAGGGAGATGCAATTAAGCGCCATATGAAGTCACTTTAAGCGGACTGTCGACGGCCTTAGAAGTGCAACAGGAATATTTAAGGGATATTATGGGAACACTGATGCAAATAACCTTACCTATATGAGAAGGAACACTTTGGGAAATAAAAACTCCGTTGAGTCCAATTACGTTTTTGAGTCACATAAGGTGACAAAAGAGCTTCGCCTCACCTGGATGGTCTGGCTCGGGTCTCCGGACACCGGGCCTCCGACCAGTTTGCAGTACAGGTCCTGCACCGTCCTGCCGCTGTCGTCCTCCCCGCAGGTCGCTGTAGCAGTGATCTTTGTGCCCTCAGCCAGATTGAAGTAGGGCGGGTGCAGGCTGTAACCGTTCACCCCGTTGTTCGGCAGCTCCTGAGCCGACACCAAGAAGCAGCAGGTCAGTAAGAGCGGCCAGAACAGGAGTAACGCGATCCGCGTCTGTATGCGCCGAGTCGGGGAGAGCGCAGCATCGAGCGGCGCCGCTCCGCTCGCCATCATGTCCACCTGTCCGCTTCGACTGGAAAAGTTTGAGGAGTAAACTAGTGTGAGTTTAAGATGAAATGACCCCGCTAACTTCTGTGAGAGAGGCGCATTGGGAGGGAAAATAAAGGCCAATATAAACTAGAAAAGAAATGGAGAGGAGGCGAAGTTAGGTTGTAGTCCTGGTCAGCGGTGCGTCGACGTTTCCGTCCTCTCTCTCCCTTTCCCTCTGTGGGGCTCCACCAAGTGTCCACTCCAGCTAAATCTGTAGTCACTCACCCTCCCCTCTGTGTTGGCCCGTCCCCAGTGCTTCTATCAGTGCTTTTGTGTGGTTATGTTACCTCCTTCTCTTTGTGCACTCTTCACAGTTTATTGGTTCAGCTAAATGAATGTTAAAAGGGGGTGGGGGTCTACTGGTTGACCGGATCTTTGAATATGTTACATTTATCAATATTTTATTTATATTTTCCCTTCACCTTTTCCCCTTACTTACTATGTCCATCATCGCTTACTTTCAACTTTCATGTCTGTTCCTTTCTTCCTCCCTATTTTCTCTCATTCCTCCTCTTTTCTCCTCCCTCCTTTTCCTTCCATCCTTTCTCGATCTCTTCCTTTCTCCTATTTTTCTTTCCTCTGTCCCTTCTCCTTCCTATTTTTTACCAAATTAGTTATTTAGCATATTTACTTATGCTGCTGTATGCAATGTTGTTGAACTAAGTTTCATTGTATTGTTTTTTTTTCAGTGCTGTTACTCAATAAAGTATATATGTACAGTATGTGTCCATCCATCCATCCATCTCATGGCTGTCAAACCACTAATTTCTTTGCTTTTTTTCCTTTACTCCCTCATTAATGTGACATTCCTACAGAGCACCCACCAAGTGGCAAAACAACAAATGGAAAATCAAACCACACACAGAGAGGAAAGGGCATCAAACACAAAGAAAACACACAGGTGCTCAAGGCAAATGTGCACACACACAAGGCCACACACACACACCACTGCCAAGCCCTCTGAGTACACAGGTGGAATATAATACAATTAGAGAAACTCTGAATTATGATGTTTTTAAATGTTCAACTTACTTTATTAACTTCTCATACGGTTCTTGCTTTTATAAATCAAACATACAAACTTGTCATGATTTCACAGTAAACATTTATAAGCACTGTGTGTGAGAAGAAGGCATTTGGAAATCTATGACAGTTAAAAATAAGAAGAATGACCACACACTAAACTTCCATGATTGGTTTAAAAAAGACTACCTCTGCTGTTGCACAAACTCAATACATTCCCCCTTTTGTTATATTACATGTAAATCTGCCGCTGTTGGACATTTGCAATACTGTCCATTTATACCTCATATGCTTTTTTCACCTCATCACCAACGCCCTGGTGATGCTGAACCATCTGACAATCTCCTATTATTGTTTTGCACTACTCTCACTAACTGTACATGGTTTTGAGTCACAGCTTATTGGCTGTACCGTTTAGATTTATCCTAATTACACCAATCCAGTTCTTATTCTATTTTTATTCTACTTTATTTTAGTTCCTAAATGTTATGACACCCAATACTAGGTGAGAGAGAAACGATATTTCGATTTCCTGTATGTCCTGCACATATGGTAAATTGACAATAAAATCCTTGAGCCTTAAAAAAGCTGAATTTGCTATCCCAGGTGGTCTTCTTCAGGGTAAGTCAAATACATATGTCAGACATTTACAGTATGTGCTCACATCTCACACCTGATAGCAATACACAATCAGTGACATCAGCAAAACCACTGATGGTTTTTCCTGACTTCCATCATGATATATGAGTTGATATTTTTGTGATTTTATATTGATATTCATATTTATGAAGAAGTCATATTAAGACTGATGTCTGTATTATAAAATGAGCAGTGCTGGAAATCTGGGTTTAAAAAATATAAATCTATATTATGTCAAATATAATTGTCTTATATTTTTGGATGATCTTCCCAGATGTGTAATTTTTACAGATTTGTATTTTAAAAATATACTTTAGAAGGTATTCTCTCAGGATTGATATGTTGCTGTCTGACTATTTAGAACATGTTGCATTTGTGCTTGATTCAGAAGTTCTTTCCCTGTTTGTTCACTTGGCATTATATACAACCCCAAATCAGACAAAGTTGAGACGATATGTCAAATCTAGATTAAGACTGAAAATACTGATGTGTAAATCATCCTGTGTTACATTGAAAACAATGCGGCAGAACATTATTTGATGTGATACTTTAGTTTTATTCTCTGTTCAAAATAAACACTCACTTCAATTCTGATGCTGCAACACATTCCAAAAAAAGTCGGGGTGGCTACATTTCTGGGCCAGTAATGATATTTGAATCAGGTGATTGCATCATGATTTGGTACAAAAGTGGCATCCAGAAAAGGCCGAGGCCTTCAGGAGCAAAGATGGGCCGAGGACCAACAGTTTGCCAACATACAGTATGTGTGAGAAAATCACTGAAATGTTTAAAAACTATGTTCCTCAAAGAAAGATAGGAAGGGATTTGGATATGTCACCCTCTACAGTGATTAAAACATTCAAGGAACTTGGAGGGATTTCAGCGTGTAAAGGGCACAAGCCTGACCTGGATGACCGAGCTCTCCGATCCCTCAGACAGCACTACGTATTGTAGTGTCTGACACAGGTGTGCCAAGGTTTCCTGAGCCCATATATCGCTTATGGAAGTGTGACGATTCTTGATGCAGTTACATCCATAAATGCAATGTAAAAATTCAATGCAATACAGGACACAGATGATACACACACCTAGTTCAGCTTAAACTCCAGGACACAGCAGACAGCCTCTCACTCTTCTTCTATGCTCACTGATCCTCATCTCTCTCTCTCTCTCTGTGTCCTTCTTTAATCTCACCTCTCTCCCTGGGAGATGTCAAACTGTCCCATACTGACTTTTTATCCTCCTCCTGCTGCTGCTGTCAGTCAGTGTGTTTGTGTGAGAGAGAGACTGAGACCATGTGTCCACTCAGTATTCATCTCAACAGGCTCTCTTAAACTCTAACAGTGGGAAAAGCTCTATCCGTCCACTGAGAAACAGGTGCTATCACACCTCTGAATTGTTGTTCCATCTCATCCTTTCTCTTTTCATCTCTCTCTTTCAAAGTAGAAATGTGTGAGGAAGGCTGTTATTGAACAGGAGTAAAGTGCTCAGTCGCCTTCTCCCTCAGGTAATGCTGAAGTCATCAAGTCTGCCATTGTTGTTACTGTGCATGGCACTAGCATTGCTGGGAAAGCAGAGGCATATTCAGACGTATACAGTGATGTAATTACGTGGCTCTGTGGTGGCTCTCTAGCAAACTGGTTCTTAGAAGGTTCACAAGCTGAACCAGCTCCGAAGTGGCTCTAGCACCAGCTCAGAACTAGCACTTGGTTTGTGCTGGTCGAAATGGGTTAACTGTCACCAGTCACTCACACACCAGTGGTGCTATTACACACGGTTCAGTGTTGAGGTCCACCACAACTTTGTGTTTGGGACCATATGATGAAGAGGAAATTATTAAAAGTTCAATTTCAGAGCACTGGAGACCACTGCAGGGTTTATTTCTATTGAATGGATGGTAACATCAGGGAATCAGTCCACCACTTTGGTCCAGACCTACTGGGATTCATGATTCCAGGAGATGAATTCCAAGGACTTTGGTCATCCCTAACTGTCATCTAGCGCCTCCAGCAGGTCAGTGTTCTAATTCCATGAAGTATCTCAACACTGATTGAATAGATTGACACAAGATTTCATTCAAGGTTCTCAGACAGTGACCAGTGCTCTGATCTTCTCTCTAGCGCCACCACGAGGCTGACATTTGTGGTTTGAAGCTAATTGTCTCAAATCAGCTATTATATGGATTTTCATACCATTTGGTACACACATTCATGTTCCCAGAATGAATTTCATTCACTTTCACGATTCTTGTTCAGGAAATACTAAACAACAAAAAAAATGTCTCGGGAGTTGTACATTACAGTGGAAACTGCTGAACAGAAGTTAAAGGCCAACGCACCAAAAAAAATCCCTTCAGGTTTGATTTTTGGAAAATAAAATCCCCTGCAAAGCACCCACTGCACATACACACTAGTATTTGTATTTAAGTATGAAAACCTTGTGGAAACACCACCTGAGCAGCTGTGCATGTGTGTTCATGCACATGCATGTGTATTTTCTCATGGATTCTGGAGCACCACCATCTAATTAAGTCAAAGGAACCGCTTTAGAGGATGAAAGAGTTTCTCCATCACACACACCAGCTGCTCAGGTGAGACAAAGTATTATTATGGGGCCTTTTGGTGTCAAAAGGATGTTTGTGGAAAACTAATCCTCTCTCAGATGGACCTGCAGGGAACCAGAGCACACAGAGACAGTAAAGACATTCCAGTCAGACAGCTGAAATTCAAATAAGACCTTACTGATCTACCAGGGGAAATTCACTTGTTGCCATATTTGTGTGTTGTCTACACTGTCCCCAAACCTCACATATCCACTTTCTCCATCACCTAGCTGAAGCCAGATTTAGACTTGTGCATCACTGCATGTATTGGAACATAGCCACCTGTCATTCAGAGATGTTGCATAGATGTTGCATTTATACTTGTGTGAACATTAACGTTCTTTTCACACCTTTGAAACTCAGTCTGAACATAGGCTAAAGTATGGTGGACTCTGACTTGGTGACTGCTACCTGCGTGTCTCTCTCTTTCACACACACACACACACACACACACACACAAGCAGGGACCACTGCCCGGTAGTTTAAGGGAGTCTTGAGACAGTGTGTTAACACAGCAGAGTTTCATTCACTGACACACAAGAACATTCCACAGGCTGTTTGCAGGCTCGTGGGTCACAGTCACATCTAGTGTGCTCTAGTTTAGGACTGTAATTAATCATAATTTTCATTACCAATTAACAACAAATTTTTTTTTGGCTGTGACAATTTCTGCAAATGTCGTGTCAACAGTGATAAGATGTTATAAAAGTGCCTCACTCTGGTTTAGCAGAGGTTCCTAAAATCAGGCACTGCCTCTTAACTTACAAATATGTGCCTCTACACAGGAAACTAAAACACAGTAGCATTAAACGTCCAAATAGGAGAGACATGAGAGATATAGAGTACATGAAACATTAGGTGCTGAAATAGCACCTCATGAAGTAAAAGCTTAGTCTTGTTTCTGTCTACAACACGAGGGTCACAAATGCTATATTCACCTAAACTGAAGTGACTCAAATCCAATTTCTTTCCCTCCAAGTGGCTCAGATCTGATCTTTTCATGGATGTGTGAACAAACCAAATCAAAGTTTTCAAATCAGTTCTGGGTCACTTCCATATGTGGTGCGAGATCCAATTCATATGTGATCACCACTGTTAGCTCATCACAAACCAGTAAAAAATAACAGTTTGAGGAAATTATGCAATTTGCCTGTTACACAAATGATGCTA